AGTATAAAAGTGACGTTTTCCCAAAAATAGTTCGTGGAGGCATTCGCCCCTTAAACAACAAAAGAAGATTGGTCGGATTTACGTTTACGTGATTTTTCAGACAAAAAGTATATCCCCCCAGTGACATGACGGTAAGTCTGTGTACTTATAACGCTAGAAACCAGGTTTTGATACCTATGGTGAGCACAGCACAAGTGTCCCATTGTGTAGTTTTGTGCTTAATTACAAACAAACAAAAAATAAAACTATTTTAACCACTTCGTCTTTGATGAACTTTTTAAAGAATTAAAACGTAGCTTTATTATTCCAATTATTTAAAGAACAGAACTTATCCAAGCCCTTCCTCAGGCGATGTAAAATGATCGCTTAATTTATCCAAGCCTTTCCTCAGACGAGGTAAAGTAATCGCTTAATTACTACATAAATAATAACAAAAATGCACAACCGTTTTTTTTTGAGTGTATAGGATAAGTTACAAGCTGGACTAACATGTTTGAGTTTTGGCCTCAGTTTAAAGTTAAGTAATCTCTCTTTTATAGTGTTTTTGTTTGTAATTAAGCACAAACCCGGATTCTAGTGTTGTACGTCCGTAGACATACCGCTGTGCCACTGGGGGGCTATCTAGTGTCAGTAGGACCTCAAAATATTACAAACTCTGCTTAACTATTCCATTTTATTCAAAATAACTATACCATTTCTTTAATATGAATTAGTAATAACTAAAACTTTATTTTCAATCCCTCTTAAAACATAACTAGAACAATTAAAAACTACGGCATTCGATCGTTATAAGCGTTATAGGTGCACAGACTTACCGTTATGCCACTGGGGGCATATATTTTTGTCTGAAAAATCACGTAAAGTCTGTTAGATTCAAGAGTTGGAGGGAGTGGACACAATCCAACCAATCTTCTTTTGTTGTTTAAGGGGCGAATGCCTCCACGAACTATTTTTGGGAAAACGTCACTTTTATACTCCTATTTGCACTTTTATGTCTTGAATAATAGTTTTTGAATGTTTGAATTTCATCTCCGCGTGGAGTAACACTCTACGGTTCACTCACTATTCTCCGTAGAGGTATAACTCTGCCTATAATTGTTGTTTGTCTTTGCTGTTATTATTGTTGAATTTTGCGCAAAGTTACTCGACAGCAATCTGCGCTGGGTGTTCCTAATTTAGAGGTGATAGACTATATGAAAGATCAACACCACCCACCGCCAACTCTTACCAGCAAGTCTCCAGGTGAGACAGCGGTAAGTCTTTAATTTGAAATTGTCTTAAACTACTTAATTTATTCATTTTTTTACCTTACATTGTACAAGAATCCCGTTTCCTTATTTTATATATATGTATAAAACTAACTTGGTGTTTCAAAAAAATCAAAGAACTGTACGAGCCGACAACTTGAAGATTTAAACAAATGATTATTGTGTTTAATTTAAGTTTGTGGTACTGTTTAGAGTGAAATCAATGAGGAACAGAAACTTTAAATTTAAAAACTTTGGTAATACATTTAATTGTTTATATTAGTTAAGGAAATTAATAAGAAACATATTTTAAGAACATTTGAGATGTAATTTTTCTGAAGTAAGTTGGATTTACTATAACATCTTATAATAATATTATCAATAGATCCACAATTCGGAAATATCTAGGAGATGGTAGCTTTTAACACCAAAGAGGCTATTAACCTCATATTATAGAATAAACTCCATAGTAAACTATATTAAACACCATACCTTCTAAAATAAGCCTACATTTAGAAAGTATCCTAATGACGATAATAAATAAACTACTCTTATCAAAAAGACCCACCATCCCACTTGAAATTTAGGCTTACAAATTTAGAGCAGAATAACAGGGTCGCCAAATGATGTCCGTCTTCGATTTACCGGAAATAAAAAACCAATTAGACTAATTTTTCAACTACTCTAATATGAACCATGCATTAAAAAAGGCCACGAATTAAAACTAAATAAATTAACACATTAACTAATGACAACAATTACATAACCGTCATAATAATAAAAAAAATCTTCTCTCCCGTACAGTTGCTTCAATTCAAACAAATATAAAACAAAAATCTGAAACGTAGAACTGCCACCTTTGACATTCATACACGACACAAGCTTTCCAGTTTCACTGAGTCCGTTCTTAGGTGAGTCAAAGTAATCGTCTAACTAGTATGCAAATACTAAGTAAAATAGACAACAATTTTCTTTGGACTTTTAAGATAAGGGACAATTTATAATATGTTTAGTTGTAAAGCGCAAAGCCACACAATGAGCCATTATGTGCTCTACCCACCCCTAATGTCGAACCCGATCTTTAACATTATAAGCCCACTGGTTTACCGCTGAGCCACCGGGCGGGGGGTGGGGTATTTATAATGTGAACAGACATGATTACAATTTATTTGCTTATAGAATTAGTACTTGGGTCGGACATGGCTAAAAGTTTAACGTATCTTATTGTGAATCTGAGGTTCTACGTATCGCGTTCCGTTGCCACAAAATCCCGATCTGCACTTTGGGGTCGTGGGTGTGTTATAGGAGTGACGGTCAGACCCATAATTCGAGTATAATAGCCCAAGAGTTAGCAGTGGGTGCTGTTGACCAGCTACCTTTACTCTAGATTATCAGTTTAAAATTAGGGATGGCTAGCGCAGCTAACTCTTATGTAGCTATGTGAAAATATCCCAAACAAATAAACCCACTACACTTACATAGTTTATAAAGCATTAATTGTCTTAATATATGGCATTATCAGTGTTGATTGTTCAGCAGTGCACGTATAATTAATGAAGATATCAGTGTGAATATTATAAATATTATTTTCAGGTTTAAGTTTGATTTTTATCTCTTAATAATGTTTAATAAGCCAGAAAAATGAGTAACGAAAAACTAATATTCCTTCGTGACTGTATAATGAAGTGAAACGTCTCTTCTGGCAGATTTTAGAATAGTTACAGGACTTGGGTTATGTTTAAACAATACGTATAAAAATATATACGTTTTGTTTGTTGAATTTAGCGCAAGGATACTAGAAGGCTATCTGCGCTAGACCTCCTAATTTAGAAGTGAAAGGCAACTAGACAACACCACATTCCGCCAATTCTTGGGGCCACTCTTTACCAACGAATAGTAGAACTTATCTTAACATTATAACATTCCCATTGTTGAAACGGCGAGCATGTTCAATGATGGGATTCAAACCTGTGTTTCGCAGTTTGCGAGCCGAACACCCTAACCACCGGGACGTGTATGAAATGTTTTCAAATTTATGCTACCATTTTTGTTTGCACTGTAATGTTCTCACTCATAGGAAAGTCTCAAGCAAATGTTGAAGTAAAATGTTAGTAATTCACCATATACCGGGGAGTGTTTAATGAGAACCTCCAGAAATTTTTAAAAATAATAAAAGTGGTTTGGAATACATTTGGTTCAAAACTAACCTACATACCACACATTAATAGCATAAAAACCAGAATTTAAAAAAAAAATCGAGTTACCTTAGGAGTCTGACTGGCAACAACCAAGGAGCTTCACAAGGAAACATATTAAAATTTACAGAACATACATAAGACCAGTCGTAGAATACGCCTGTATAACAGGGATCAATGTATCAAAAATACACATCAATAAATTACAGCAAATACAAAACTATATTTAAACGAAAGCATATAGAGTCCCATGATAAACAAATTCAATATTTCTACACAACTATTCAAACATGCCAACTCTATAAGACAGGCTCCTGGAATAACTCGCTTCAATATTATAAGACAAATATTAATAAAAATGAACTGATGAGCAAACTAGAGTTACATAATACATGATGAACCAAGCCCTAAGTATCTCTCCCCTCTAAACATCATAAATAAGAATCTTACAGGCCAAACAGTGCTAGGCTAATTGTTTGTTTGTTAGTTTGTTTTTGAATTTCGCGCAAAGCTACACGAGGGCTATCTGCGTTAGCCGTTCCTAATTTAGCAGTGTAAGACTAGAGGGAAGGCAGCTACTCATCACCACCCACCGCCAACTCTTGGGCTACCTTCTTACCAACGAACTAGGCTAATTGAATCCTAGACTAAAAACGTAGCTTTATTTTAAAAGGGTTTTGTACGTATGAATAGGATTATGTATGTGTGTATATATATATGACTGCTAAGCTGAACTGTATTGTGAACACGGACTAATAGTGCGATCATGCATAAGTGAAGCTAGTGAAAATATACAAGTTAATATTACCCCAGAAATTTGACATAGCACGAAAAGGGTATGTTGATTAAAACTACGGACAGTGGACAAAGTTTAACATACTGTGAGTAATGCAACAACGTAACAAGGGTTATTACTTTGTGTTCAGTAACAGTGCAAACAAAATAACAATTCCTAAGAAGGAGGAAGAAGGTCAACACTGAACCTGGCCCTCCCTGGACCAAAACATGGACCGAATCCTGGTGAAGAAGAAGAAGAAGAACTAGAAACAGCGGTCATCGAACAGGTTGCTGAGAAGCACTAGGCTAGATTCTAGAACAGAGTCTATGACGGACCAGCAGCGGTTCGCGAACAGGTCGTCGAAGAAACATTGGTATAAAGGCTTGGAGTGCAAACTGAGACTTATGATTATAGAAGCATAAAAATCAATGGACTATCTGTGCTGCGTTTACCACGGATATAGACAGCCGGTTTTTAGAGTTATAAGCCCTCAGACTTACCGCTGAGCCAACGAAAACCTACATTCACACACATCTTAAGTGAGTGAAACTTCACGTGCATCATGTGTCTCTATCCCTTCCGATAATACATGTAAGGCGTTACATTTCCTCTAGCTTTCATATTGTTCAGTTCATTGGTTAATTACTCACAACAGAAACCATCTCTGAGAACATTTTTTTAATTATCATCTCTTATTTGTTTTTCCTATTACTTTACAAAGAAACAATTTTTTTTGTGCTAAAAGAATACAGTGCACAACAACGTGTTATATAACTTTCTTATAGACATTAACAAAACCACAGTTGATTCTCCAATAATTAAGTTTATATTTTTGAAAGGAATAAAGAATTTTAGTTTTTAACGATGAGAGTCTTCACCTCCGCACAAGTCAGCGTTTCTCCCAAGACATCTGTTAAACTGTACTTCACAATGATGGGGACCTAAGACAATGAAAGAACAAACTAAAGCTGTTCTATTCATTCTACGAGTTTTCCAAGGTAAAGTTTCACAGGATTGCGTTATAAGCTCAATGACTGCACATCACAACATGAGTTGTTACTTGGCTTGTAAGCAATATATCATACATTTGTTTTAGGCATTATCATATTTGGGTTTTGAATTTTAATGGAACTTCATAAGTATTTGATATAAAATATATACATATTACAAGAACAGGCAGAGTATTACATATATATTTTATTACATACATATTATATATATATATATATTACAAGAACAGGCAGAGTATTACATATACCTTCCGATGTAAAATAAGAAAATGAAGATTTTATATGCTGTTGATTTTCTAAGTTCCTATTATTTCGAAGGAATCACTACAGTCGATATTATTTAAGGAGAAAAAAAGATGTAATATTTCATTTCTTTTCCTTGTGGATAAAACAAGTATTAGCTGTTTTGCGAAATTATTTATTTTAATAAAAACAGAACATTTTCTTGATCACGTTCGAAACCTGATATTTTACAAATTGCAATAATTTAATTTCGAGTTTTTATGGAATCTTGAGGCGAAATGTTTTGTACATGATATATATCTAGTTCGAAACAACCAAATTTGAGGCGAAATGTTTCATACATGATATAATCTAGTTCAAAACAACTAAACTTCAGGCGAAATGTTTTATACATGTTATATATATCTAGTTCGAAACAACCATATTTGAGGCGAAATGTTTTATACATGTTATATATATATCTAGTTCGAAACAACCATATTTGAGGCGAAATGTTTTATACATGTTATATATATCTAGTTCGAAACAACCAAACTTCAAATGCTGGATGAGCATGTATACGAAACGATTTTTAATTTGAAAATATAAAAAAATAGCCTTACCTGTGGATAGAAATCAGCCACTTCTAACTTGTCATGATATGTATAGTTTTTGCCAGCTATTATTGGGCAAGGTGGGGTGAGACTGCCCGCTCTACAGGGATCTTTCTTGCCTCCCGGCAGCGTAAGTTTTTTCCCTCGGATATTACCTCGTATTACCGTTACAATCTCGTCGGCACTGATTGCTTGAAAATACACAAAAAGGCAACTTATGACCATATGTCACTGTTTTAATTAAACTTTATGATTCAAGTATATTAACCACACTACATCTGCCATATCCAATGCCGATGAGGCCTTTAGTTTAATTCCACTGTTCATCAGATCTGCTGGGACACGACAGATTTAGTCGTGGTCCATATGCTAGTTATATCATCAATTTTTATCAACAACATAAAAAAAAGTTATGGTTCGAACTAGATACAAACAAGTGAATTATCATTATTATCAGTTTTACTTAATTAATTTACAAATCAGAGTTTTAGGTTACGGATTAACAACACGTTATTATGTATTTATTGTACTTCCAATAGTGATATTTACTGGAACTTTCTAACATGGGTTATCCTGCTACCCTGAAACACAAAGTTTGTAAACATTTGTTGCTTACGAGCTTTGAAGTCAGCTTCTATTAAAACACTGGAACCTTTCTTGAGGGCACATGGTTCATTGTGGCATGGGGTCACACGAACAGCGTAGACGTTGTTTATTCCTGTGAACAGTTCATTAGATATAAAAATTAGGTGTTCCCATATTACGTATGATGAAACAATGTACTTATTCAATCAAATCAACTGAGATTATTCCATTAACCTGATACCAAATGTTCCTTATATGTAGAAACATGTTATCATATAGGTATCAAATGTTCCTTATCTTTAGAAACATGTTATCATATAAGTTACCTGCACGTTTTAGTGCTGCCGATACAATGTAAAATTCTTACTACTCCTATTACACATGTATAAATACAAACTATTAACACACATACATGCTTTTTTTTAAATATAAAAACCTCTACAAACTAGTTTAAAAGGCTATATGAAAATTTCTGAAGGTAACTGACCCGGATGATTTAAAAATGATGAATAATTCATCATGTGAGCGTGATGATGGTTTTGGTTGTAGTAACACTCAAACGCTGAATAGAATTTCTGACTGATAATTGCTAGTTATTCTTTGGCATATTAATACTGTGGGTTGTAGTAACAACCAAAGGCCGAAGTTTCTGACTAGTACTTACTAGTTACCCTGTGGCACAGTAAACATCTTCGAAACATGGGTTATTGTATCTAATTAGTTTTAATTATGTTAACAAATGTATGTAGTTAATGCCAAATTAAAATATAATTTTGCTGCTAACCTCTGTTTAGTATTTAACATCTGTTAAGCATGGTCTAAATATGGCCTGCCTTATATGTGGATTAGAGTTTAAAGTGCAAATGATATTGTGTTGTTTACCTAAGTGACATACCAAACGAACTAACAAGTTTGGTGAGTTCAAGTGTAAGTAGATATGGATTATAATTAATTATAATTATTAATAAAAAAAATCGTTGCACTTACATGCTGGATATTATCATTGTTAGAACGTGGACTTTCCAAACTTGTTTTTCAAATTTGAACTTTCTTTTTACGTTTTAGATGAAACACTAGAAACTTCATTCGACGTTTATATTGAACGTATGACACAGCTCATTATATTGTAACAAATAAACCTTTTATATATCATAAAGAATGTATATTTAAAAAGTTAGATGATGTCGGACTTTCAGATAATAATCCACTTTAGATTTATTAAATTATCTTTCGAAAATGTTCGTTTAAACTCCTTAAACGACCCTACTTCAAAGACGATGTAACTAAAACTCCACTGTTTACAATAATATGTTTAAAAATGTTCGTTTAACCTCCTTAAACGACCCTACTTCAAAGACGATGTAACTAAAACTCCACTGTTTACAATAATATGTTTAAAAATGTTCGTTTAAACTCCTTAAATGACCCTACTTCAAAGACGATGTAACTAAAACTCCACTGTTTACAATAATATGTTTAAAAATGTTCGTTTAACCTCCTTAAACGACCCTACTTCAAAGACGATTGTAACTAAAACTCCACTGTTTACAATAATATGGTTTAAAATGTTCGTTTAACCTCCTTAAAGTCCCTTACTTTTAAAGACGATAGTAACTTAAAAC